CTTACAGTTTTATTTGATTTTACAGACTGGCTTGCAACTGCAGCTAGCGCACTTTCTAACTCAGATCTCAAGTTTTCTTCGAACAGTTCCATTTCCTATAGAGCAATGTAGAAGTGTCAATGTCATTTTGTCTTGATAAAAAGATATTAGAAAGTATTAAGTATGAAGTAATAGACAGCTTGCTGTCAATCCAAATGATCTAACCCAAATAAGAAGAGTAGTAATCAGCGCCTCAGACCATATCTATGGGTCTCGACTCTTCTGAAAGAGTAAATGGTGAATCAACAAACTTTCTTAGTAGTTGGTGAACTGATATTTATAATCCAAAACTTTCTTAGTAGTAAATTACCTAGAGCTGATAAAACAATTCATATGAAGATACTCTACACACTTTCAAGATGCTCTTTGTTAAGCTTGAAGGTATGCAAGACTAATATACTTCCTGCGCCCTATTCATAGAACATTGTTATAATGGAACTTGTCTCTAACCTTTAACCTAATCTGAAGTGTATCTGCTTCCTGCAGTTTCTCTTCAATTTTGTTTTTACAATTTGATATAGCCTTCTCATATTCAGCATTTTCTTCTTGTAGTGTAACTTCTCTTTGTTGCGCCTGCCATAACAAATAAAGCCACCATCAAACTTTAGAATTAAAACAGAAAAGCAGTGGTGTACATCTTTGTTCCCATGGCTTTGTGCATTAAGTTGCAGATTGGCTAAATTTAAGGAAAAGATAAGCAGAAATTCCATTTACACAAGTTTTACCCTCAAAACAAATTAGTAGACTCTCCAACATCTAAAACAAATTGCAGCAGAGATTATGAGAGTGCAGTTAAAAATAGAATTGGATAGACAAAATAGGGACAAGACAAAGCACTGTCATGATTTGAATTCATAATTCAGATAATTGTTTGTAGCAAACAACTCCTAAATTTTTTGAATCAGTTAAAATAAACTTGCAGTAAGCATTCCAAAACATTACAGTGACAGTGAAATCGAGAGCCAGAAATGGGAACACAAAAAATACGGCAGTCACTCCGATAACCACATGAAATAATCCAAATATGAGTCTAGAAATCAGCTGATCATATAAATTACAGAGGAAAATTCGAGCCAGGGCAAGAAAACCAGCAACGAAACAAAAACCTGTTCCTTGGTGGCGGAGTGGGCATTGAGCTGGAGTGCTAGGGCGGCGTTGGAGGCGAGGGAGTGGGCGTGGAGGTGGGGAAGGCGCTGTGAGATGTCGGGAGGCGGAAGTCTGAGTCGCAGATCTTGGATCGCGCGGCTAAGAGAGGCGGCTTTGCGATTCAGCTCTTGGACGTAGGCCTGCTGCTCGTCTGTCAAGATCAACGGGATGGAATTCGGATCGTCGTCGTCGCCGCCGTTGATGTGTCCGCTCTTTCCGACCACATCTGCTGCCCAAGCAAGCAGCCCCGCCATCGCTGAGCGTTACTCCTCTTCCGAAGAGGTCTCAACTCTCAACTGTACTGTTTGCCGCTTAACTGATTATTAATTTATTACAATACAATATGAAATTATTTTTTAATATAAAAGACCCGAACTTTATACGAGAAGTCAAGCTCAAACTTTCAATGTTGTAATTAAATTTACAAATTTTTATTTTAGAGCATTAACGTTCAATGATCGGTTAGCTCCCTATAATCGTCATGTCAAGAGGTCAGCGAACCAGATAGCTCATGTTTTGACACGAACAATTGGTTCCAGGTGTGTCCTAGAGTCGTGGAAATCTGTTCCACCGGCCTGTATTGCTCATTTGTTTTAATGATATTCGTTGTGTTGTGTTCAAAAAAAAAAAAGGATTTATAAACGCTAATTGCTCCTTGTGCATTCACATTCACAATAAAAAAATCGCAACTCTAGTTTCTTCTTCTTTTTATACAGATTCTTCAAACCCTTTTTCGCCTCCTCCTCCTCCTTCTCCTCTTCTTTCTTCTTCTTCTTTTCCTACGTTAGTCTCATATTTTCTACTCTTGGAGATGGCAGCTTCTTCTTGGAGTGGTTCACCAAAATCTCACTCAAAGTTGAGACTAATTTTACAATATGAGCCATTCTTGTATTGTCGCTGTAGATCGAAATCACCACTATGTGAATCACGAGACAATGGACAACAATTTTGTGGTGTCAACAGTGAAATGTACAAGTATTTATAAATTTTTAGGTTTTAAAAGTTTCTGAGTTATTGTTTTAAAATTTTCTAGGTTGTTTTAAATTTGTCTGGATTTTCTACATGTTCGCTATTTTCAAATTTATGATTTTCTTGAATGGTTGAATTTTTTGAGGAAGGTGGTTGTGCGTACTTTATATGGAAAAGTGTATTATGAAAATATGATGAGCTTGAATCTGATTTGAATATGAAGGTTGAATTAGATCGAGTTGAAGAATATGAAGTACAAAGTTATATGGAGGAAATTCAGCAATTGCGAAGTGATATTGATAAGACTATTCAAGCTAAAGTTGAAAGAAAAAAAGACATAAATACAATAATAATTTGTTTAGTAATTGTTGTAGTAATACTGTAATAATTGTGTATGTAAATTTGCAACAAAGAACAATACCATATGAATCTATGTTGCCTTTGTTGTAGTTTAATATGATGTTTTAATTTGTTTTTGTTGACATATAGATCTAGTTGTGTATTGACTTTGTTATTGGCAATTCAAATCTAATTTACTACGGAGTATTTATTTAGTTTATTAATGGTTAGTATTCTATTTAAGTTTTTAATAATTTTGCAATGTGATGTTAAAGTTGATTAGTAAATTTGATTTGTTCTTATAATTGGACTTCATAATCTAACAAAGATCATAAGATTGCACAAGGTTTTAATTATTTATTCTCATAATTGAACGTAAATCACATGCCTACAATCTAGTGAGGGAATTACTCATTGTGTCCGACGGTGAAAACATTGGGTATACCCCCAAAAAATAATAACTGAACGTAAATATGTCATAAAACAAATAATTGAACATAAATATGTCATAGAGCACAATATTGAAATTCACAATCTGTTACAACAGTCATAAAACACAAGGTTTTGCAAAACACAAATAAAGAAACCATACATTTTCATTCACATGATTGCCAAAACACGAGTCAATGTACACATTTGCCTTCGATAACCTTAGAAATCAGCATAAAAAATCGATGTTCTCTATCTCTACAATTGTCCATGCTATAGGGTACATTTGGTTATTAGATCTCTACCAATTGCATTTAGAAAACACACATCCATCCCAATTTCCTACACCCTTCTAAAAACCCTAACTATAAAGCTCCAAACCAAACATAAAATATCTGAAACACACAATGACTGTCAAGGGTAGTTCTATGTGTTTTTATCACTGCATGTGTACCTGGATTGGAGTTGATACATTCAACAGCATAATCCCTAATTATACGAAATTGATCCTTAAAACTAACATCAATTTTCGTCAGTATAGCACTCACTACTCTTATCACCATGCAAATGTCCACATTAAGTTTCAGTTCATATTTGATGTGATTTTTTAGTTATGTTGGTCCAATTGCAGGGTTATCCCTTACCTTATCCTCATACCTATCTTCAATCCATTTTTTGGTTCACAATTCCCAAGCTGTATTTTTTGGTTGCATCTATGTTCCGCAGTGAGTGTTTTCAACTGAAAACACTTCAGAGGTTCATCCCCTGGTCCAGTAGCTTGAAATGGGCAAGGCTTTACACATGAAAACAACACTCGATTTTGTTCATTCTTCACATAGTGAATATTCCTCTTCGAGTACACTGCATAATTTGTCCTTGCTTTTCTTGAATTGTTTCCGATCATTGTATAGAGTTTCCACTTTAAGCTCAATTGACAGAACATTGGGATTATACGAAGGGATTCCAAATCTACTTTTTGCTTTATTGGACATGTCAAATGGTGCTTCTTCATCTTCTTGTTCAGAATGATAACTCGGGGGGCTTTTAGAGTCATAATACACACTCTGCACGTCTTCATTCACACCCATGCCACATTTTCAGATTCAACTTCTACCCTTATATTTTCCTCTTCATCATTGGATGCAACATTATGGCACTCAACATTATCAACAAAGGCATCTTCATTATCGTCATTGTATTCATCTTCTTCTCCTTCCAAATCATCATCACATAACTGATCTTCATCATCTTGTTTTTTCATTAAGAACTTGTTCACTCTTTAGTTGTGTAACCACCCGGGATCATCTTAGCTTCTAAGCACAACACAGTTATCATGTCATCGCGTAATATGTCCATATGGACGAATGTTCAGAATGTTACCTTCATATAATAATATCACAAATAATCTTATTTATATTTTATACCATTTTATCGTAATTGGTTAAATAAGGGGGTTTCTTAAAGTATACATATGCAAGGATGGATCTTTTGATCTTTAAAAAATACGAAAGAGGTTTCACCGATCACCTTTTTTCCAATTATGAAGACTCATCTCTTATTCTCTTTTTTTTTTTTTTTTTTTTTTTTTTTTTTTTAGTAAAAAGACTCATCTCTTATTCTTAATCGTACTTACAAATAAAAACTTTATATCGCATTACAATTTAAAAATATACCTAATTTTCCTCATCCACCACTTACCTATTATAACAAATACCAACAAAAGAATCTACGTAACAAATTCAAGAAAGAAAGAAACAACAATAACAAGCCACAAAGGTGACCCATCTTCACTTCTAATCCAATATTTCTACCATTTCCATTCACTACGCTGTCTCCTTCGACACTTCACCATCTCCCTCAAGCAAACTCCCCATGAAGGCAAGAAATTGATGAAGATAATGGCATCAATGGTTTATCTTCAAGTTCCAAATACTTCTACGTCTTCTTCGTCACCATTGCTGACGCATATCAACGAACTCAGTTGGTCGACAGGAACAAACACGCGCCCACTTGACGTCGTACCGGGAAATTTTATCCGTTTGTGTTTTGACTGTCGTCATCATCGATAAAGATTACGCGGCTAAGGGACAATAATGGTGTTTAAAAAAATTACAAGAAAAGTCAAAGCCATTGTTTCTAAGTCTTTTAAAAAGCCCTATAAATCTCCTCCACCGCAATTCGATCAGCAGCCAGCGCCACCGCAGAAATCCTCGACATTTCAGCCTGAATTCTCCGCCGTCGCCGCCGCCGCCGCCGCCGCCATGTCGCCACCGAGAGACCAGAGGCCGATCGCCAAGCCTTTCCTCTTCCCACACGGCCAGTCCACTGTTCTCCCCGATCCATCCCGTTTCTTCGCCCCTGATCTCCTCTCAAACCCTCTGCCCACAAATTCTTTCTTCCAGAACTTTGTTCTTAAAAATGGCGATCAGGCGGAATACATTCACCCCTATCTCATCAAATCATCCCAATCCTCTCTCACTCTCTGTTACCCGTCTCAGTTCCGAAACCCTGCGTTCATTTACCAGATTTTCAACGCTGATCTCACCATTTCCGCATTGGATAACCCTAACCCTAATGCGGCTCACGTTGTTTCCTCGTTCAGCGATCTCAGTCTCACGCTGGATCTCCCCTCCAGCAATCTCAGGTTCTTTCTTGTCCGGGGCAGCCCCTTCTTGACCTGTAACGTTTACAGCAATGTCAGTATTTCAATTTCAACTATTCATGCGATTCTTGAATGTTCCTCCAATGATTCCCAGACGAAATACACTATTAAGCTGAACAATAACCAGACTTGGCTTTTGTACGCCTCTTCCCCCATTAATTTGACCCATGATCTATCCACCATTACTTCTACAACTTTTTGTGGTGTAATTAGGATTGCTCTATTGCCAAACCCTGATCCGAAATGTGAAGCTGTTCTTGATCGGTTTAGTAGCTGTTACCCCACTGCCGGCCACGCTGCCTTCACCAAACCGTTTTGTTTGGAGTATAAGTGGGATAAGAATGGCTGGGGGGATCTGCTGATGCTTGCACATCCTCTGCATCTCCGCCTTCTTTCCGACTCTGATTGCACAATTACTGTTTTGGAGGGGTTTAAGTATAGCAGCATTGATGGTGATCTTGTAGGTGTTGTTGGGGATTCATGGGTTCTGAAAACTGACCCCATTTCAGTGACATGGCATTCGGTTAAAGGTGCAAGTGAGGAATCGTATGGCGAGATAATTAGTGCATTGGATACAGATGTTCAGGCTTTGGATGCTGCGAATATACAGACTGCATCGTCTTATTTTTATGGTAAGTTGGTAGCAAGAGCAGCGAGGCTAGCGTTGATAGCTGAGGAGGTGTGTCATCTTGATGTTATTCCCACGATTCGGAGGTTCTTGAAGGATGCAATTCAGCCCTGGTTGGATGGGACTTTTGGAGCTAATGGTTTCTTGTATGATTCGAGATGGGGTGGACTTGTGACGAAACAAGGGTTAACTGATACTGGTGCTGATTTTGGGTTTGGGATCTTTAATGATCACCATTATCACGTGGGCTACTTTGTTTACGCGATTGCTGTGCTTTCTAAGATTGATTCTGCGTGGGGAAGGAAGTACAGAGGCCAGGCGTACTCTCTTGTGGCAGATTTTATGAACTTGAGCAGGCAAAAGAGTTCAAATTACACCCGGTTGAGGTGTTTTGACCTATGGAAACTGCATTCTTGGGCGGGAGGATTGACTGAATTTGCAGATGGGCGAAACCAGGAGAGCACGAGCGAGGCAGTGAACGCTTACTATTCTGCAGCTTTGATGGGGTTGGCTTATGGGGACACCCATCTTGCAGCCATTGGATCCACCCTTTCTGCACTGGAAATTCAATCTGCACAAACGTGGTGGCAAGTGAGAGAGGATAGCAATTTGTATGCAGAAGAGTTCACCAGGGAGAATCGCGTGGTGGGGGTTCTGTGGGCTAACAAACGAGACAGCGGCCTCTGGTTCGCTCCTGCTGAATGGAGAGAGTGCCGGCTGGGAATACAACTCTTGCCTATACTCCCAATCAGCGAAGCTCTATTCTCTGACGTTCAATTTGTGAAACAACTGGTGCTATGGGCTCTGCCGGCTCTCGCGAGAGAAGGGGTCGGGGAAGGGTGGAAAGGGTTCGTGTACGCACTGCAAGGAGTTTATGACAAAGCGGGCGCTTTGGAGAAGGTAAGGAGGTTAAGTGGGCATGACGACGGGAACTCACTGACAAATCTTCTTTGGTGGATTCACAGTAGAGAGGATGATGTTGAGGAATATGATAGAGGTGGTAAGTTATGCTGGTTTCATCACTACTGTCATTGAGTGCTGCAACTCATTATATTTAGAAACCAGTCTGTTTGGTTATCTGATACCACTTGTTATTGCCTTTTGATTTCCATTGAATTTCTCCATGAATACAGTTTAAGAGACTCTGTATGTTCTTACAAAGATTTTGCCCCTACTATAAATGTTCATGGTCAAGACGAGATAGATAGATAGATACCACCAGTAATACTATAAGGAGACAGGCAACCACCATTATTAACCTTCTTTTCCATCTGGTTCTCATTTCAGTTATTTATTGTGATTTAATCTGTGGGTCTTCCGCTTATTACTAAAAATCAACCATGGAAGTGTGTTAGAAGTTTTGAACTCATGGATCAAGCTTTATATTCTGATTGTGGGTTCTTCTGAAATTGTTTGAATTTGATATCTTGAAAATGAGATACATATACTGCATATAAATTTGCCCATTGCAATGTCAATAATGACTATGATGCCTTTTGGCCTACCGATATCAGGGAAGAGGTATAGCCAATTGCCTTTTTCACAATTATGAAGACTCCTCTCTCGTTCTTAGTCGTGGCAGGCAAATTATGATGTGGACTCGGATCCACCTTGCAATTCAAAACAACATTGTCTAATTTTAGAAAAAAAAAAATTGCTTCTTTGCTCGCCCGCTAACTTGCCATTTGTCTTTAGAATTTGTTCCTCTATATTCACAATTTTAGAACTTTTTTTTTTTTGAAAACCTCACAATTTTAGAACTAAATATTCACAATTTTAAATTTAAATATACAAAATTCAATATTCACAATTATATCAACAGTATAACACAATTTTTGAATTTTATATTCATAATTTTTGAATTCTATATTCACCAAAAAAAAATATATTATTGGTTGAGGAGACGGTCACATTAACGGCCCCAGACGCGCGTTTTGGACCTGGGTCCACCTTGCAAGGTGATCCCGAGTCCATGGCATAACAATTGATTTTGGCAAATTATTTTGTGGACCCAGATCCAAATGTTCACAATTTACCTACTAAATGTTAACGATTTACTTTTTTAATGATAGGGTATATCCCGACCGGCCTGGGCCCTAACCGACCGACCCATCTTGTCTCTTTCCTCCTCTTTTTGCAGGTCACAGGTCACAGGTCGGGATTCCTCGGAGAAGCCCGATCGGTTCCCGACCGGAGTGTTAAATTCCCGACCGACCACCCTTGGACAGAAGCTGAGGAGAGACACGCGTCAGCACTTGGCGGGGACAGCAAGACGCCCGAGGGGACGACACGTGTCCAAGCCACGCGTCGGGCTGGCCGGAAAGCCCGGATCATGTCCCCTGCGTCGCGTCTATAAATACCCGCCGTTGCGACAGTGAGAGGACCTTTTGGACGATCGATAAAGCTGTTATCAGAGAATCCCGACCGCATTCAGTCGGCACCCGAGCAGCTATCTAGATTGTACTCTTAGGACCATTTCACCCGATCTATAAAAGTTTACCCGCTTTACTTGATCGTACTTGTGTTGATTACTGCTTACGTGGCAATTAGCACTATCATTTTGGCGCCGTCCGTGGGGACCCGTGCGAACAAGCTACCGTTTGGCGAGCACTCGTTCTCTTTTCTACCACACCATGTATCTGTGGGCACAAGAACTCGTTCGTGACGACCAGGCGGATGAGGCCAGCTCATCCGATCATCCGTCGTCCCACCAACAAGGTCACGCCGCTGACCTCAACCTCAATCTCTCTCCACCACACCAGTCAACCTCATACCCGGCCGCTCAGCAGCCGGTCAACTACATCCAACCAGGGTATTATGTTCCCGAGCAGCCCGGTCAGCCCGACCAGCAGTTCCAACACCCGCAGTTCCAGCAGTATCCCCAGTACCCCGGGCACTATCCATACCCGGTCCCTCCTCAGCCATATGGGTACTGGCCCGGCCAGCCAATGTACTACACGCCACCGGTCGGCTATCCACCATACACGCCTGCGTTCACGGCTCCAGCCGCCGCCCCTCCACTCTATCCGACCGCCTCAGCCCTCTTCCCGGGCTAGACGCTCGGCTCGTTCGCGGTTGGGGTCGGAGGGTGCAGTCGCGATGGAGGCACCACGGCAGGCCCAGCAAGAGCAGCCAGAGTATCGGACCCAAGCGGAGTAACCCGAACGGACAGTAGTGTTCGACCGCCTCCGACCGGCCATGCGAGAGCGCCTGGGACCTCAAGGCACGAGCCAGCGCTCGGGAGGTGAGCAGGCGATGGAGATCAGCCAGGAGGCCTCGTCTGGGCACGGTGGTTCAAGGTCCCATCGTCGGAGGCGCGCCCGTGAAGGCGCTCAGGCTCAGATGACCGAGCTCGACGAGACTCGGGGGCAGCTCCGCAACCTCCAGGAGGAATTTGCTCGGTTTAGAGACGAGCACGCCGCCAGGCCCCGAGTCGAGCAGTCGACCCTGGTGAGAGCGCCTTTCACGGTGGACGTGATGGCCCAGCCTTACCCGCTCGACCTCTAGAACCAGGGGAACCGAGGTTATGACGGCCGCACGGACCCTGAGGTCCATGTCAACGACTACTTCCACAACATGTCGATGATGGGCGTGTCAGATGCCGTCATGTGCAGGGCCTTCTACTCCACTCTATCCGGTCGGGCAGCCGAGTGGTTCCGATCGCTGCAGCCGGGCTCGATCTCCGATTTCAACGCCCTGGCGATCAAATTTTTTAGGAAATTCATCACCTCGAAGGCGGTGAAGAAGTCCTACATGTACTTGGAAAAGGCCAAGCAGCTCGAGGGGGAAAGCTTGGTCGACTTCCTCGTCAAGTGGAAGGCCGCAGTCGGGGAGGTCGAGCAGATGGATGACGCCACAGCCACGCATATGCTCCACATATCTCTGCGGTCGGGTTATCTCTACCAGGACTTCATCCTCCACCCCCCGAACACGTACGAAGAGGCCCTCCGAAGGGTCACGGATTACGCCAATGCTGGCGAGGCGAACGCGGTCAAGCGTTCGGAGGAGGTCGGGAGTTTATCCCGTAAGCCGACCGGCCGGGCGGAGATCCGATCGGGTGAGGACCGTCCCCGATCCCGCACCAGGCCTGGTCCGTTCACGGCCTTGAACCGATCCGCTGCCGAGGCCATGCAGTATGCCCAATCCTGCAACCTCATAAAGCTCTCTCACCCCGGTCGGGACGGACCGGACAGGAATAAGCACTGTGCCTACCACAGGTGCGCCGGCCACGACACTGAAGAGTGTGTCCAGCTACGCCAGCTGCTGGAAGAGCTGCTCAGCTCGGGAAAGCTGGACAAGTGCGTGGGGAAGAGAGAAGAAGGCAGCAAAGAGACCGATCGAAGAGATCGTCGACGATCCCACCGTCGTTCCGATCGGTCGGGTCAGGGCCGTCAGGACGACCGACGGGACCCAGATCCACCGACTAGCAACCGACCGGCAGGCAAGCCGATCATCCACGTGATCTTCGGTGGATTGGATGATGCCTCCCGACCAAGGGAGAATTGCCCGGTCGCCATCGTTGATTCCCGAGACACCGGGAAGAGGCAGAAGATGGAGCCCATAACCTTCACCATCGACGACCAGCCCAGCAGCGACGACAACGGTATGGAGGCTCTCGTGGTCACGATCGATGTGAACGGGACTGATGTCCAAAGGGTTATGGTCGATACTGGGAGCAGTGTCAACGTCCTTTATTTGGACGTATTTGAGAAGCTGCAACTCGACAAGCGCGAACTAATTCCGGTCGGCGTACCCTTGTCGGGATTTACCGGGGCCCTTATTCACCCCGAATGAAAAATCGCGCTCCCAGTCGAGATCGGCACCCCGCCCAAGTCAATCAAGATCGAGATGGAATTCGTTGTGGTGAACCTACGCTGTGTCCACAATATCATCTTGGGCCGACCCGCCATCATGAAGATCGGTGGGATAATTTCAATGCCTCACCTATGCATGAAATTCCCCATCCCGAATAGGGTCGGTGTTGTCCGGGGCGATGTCCAATCCGCCCGGAGCTGTTACACCCGGGCCGTAAACAGGCGGGGCACGGGAACCTCCTCCCGGGTGAACACAATCGTTAAAGAGGCCTCCGCCGACCGGAAGGAACAGCCAGAACCTTCCGAGGAAATAGAGGAAGTTCCCCTGTCCGAGGACCGACCGGACAGGACGATCAAGATTGGCCGGGCCCTCACCCTCGAGCTCCGAGCGGAAATCTTGGCCACCCTGCGGGAGTTTGCCGATGTTTTCGCGTGGGGACCCGAAGACATGCCCGGGATCGACCGGACGGTTATTTGCCACAAGCTGGTAGTCGATCCCACCGCTAAGCCGGTCGTGCAAAAAACCCGGCACCTCGCTTCCGACCGCCGCGAGTTCGTCAAGGAAGAGGTCAGGAAGATGGCGGCGATCGAGCACATCCGACCGGTGATCTATCCCGAGTGGGTGGCAAATGTTGTTCTCGTTCCAAAGCCCCCAGCTTGAGGATGTGCATAGACTTCACCGACCTCAATAAGGCCTGCCCGCTCGACCCATACCCGCTCCCGAGCATACATCAAATGGTCGACGAAACGGTTGGGGTCGAGTTGATGAGCTTCATGGATGCTTTCAAAGGGTATCATCAGATCATGATGCACCATGAAGACGAGAGTAAGACAGCGTTCGTTACCCCAGACGGACTGTACTGCTACCGAGTGATGCCGTTCGGCCTACGCAACGCAGGAGCGAACTACCAAAGGATGATCAACATGCTCTTCGCTGATCTCTTGGGCCGAACGATGGAAGCTTACGTTGACGATATGCTGGTCAAGAGTCGGGACCGATCCGACCACACTCGGGACCTCCGAGAATGCTTTCAGATCATGAGGAGGTACCAGCTGAGATTGAACCCGAACAAGTGCACGTTCGCGGTTCAAACGGGGAAATTTCTCGGCTATATGATGACAAAGAGGGGGATCGAGCCCAACCCGGCCAAGGTACAGGCAATTCTGGAAATGCAACCACCTTCCACCGTTCGGGAAGTCCAGCAATTGACCGGTCGGTTGGCAGCCCTCAGCCGGTTCCTCTCCAAACTAGCCGAGCGCGCTCTACCGTTCTTTAAAGTATTGCGCAAGGTAAGTGGGTTCGTCTGGGATGACGAATGCCGAGCGGCCTTCGATGAGCTAAAAGAGTACCTCATGTCTCCGATTGTGCTCTCGAAGCCCGAGCTCGGGGAGGCCCTAGACGTGTACCTCGCCGTATCCGATAGAGCAGTAAGCGCAGTATTGTGCCGAACTGATCAGGAAGGGGTCCAGCGACCGGTGTACTATGTAAGCCACGCGCTACATGGTCCCGAGCTCCGGTACTCCCGGCTAGAGAAGGTCTTCTACGCCCTCTACATCGCCGCGAAGAAGCTGGCTCCCTATTTCTAGGGTCGAGCCATCCGCGTGCTGACCGATCAGCCGATCGGTCCAGTCTTCCGCACCGCTTCATCATCCGGCCGCCTGGTCAAGTGGGCGTTGATGCTGACCCAGTACGCGATCGAGTACCGACCGAGACCAGCCATCAAAGGGCAGGCCCTTGCAGATTTCTTGGTCGAGTGCACCGCCCGGGATACCCGACCCCCCGAGGTCGAGGATCCCGAGGCCGAGTGGTGGTCCCTGGCCACGGACGGGTCCAGCAGCCAAAAAGGGGCCGGAGGAAAAGTCGTTGTCATGAGCCCGGAAGGGTTCAAGGTGTACTTCGCGCTTATATACCAGTTCCACCCCACCAACAACGAGGCCGAGTACGAAGCTTTCATCAATGGCTTACAGTGCGCTCGGGACCTGGGGGCTGAGTACATCCGGGCTCAGACAGACTCTGCACTCGTAGTCGGGCAGGTCACCGGCGACTACGAGGTTAACGGCGAACGATTACAATCGTACCAGGACCTTGCAATGGAAAAACTTGCCACGTTCCGGGGGTATACCGTCCGGCACATACCCCGACTGGATAATGCCGATGCGGACATCTTGTCCAAATTGGCCCAAGACGCCCCGGAGCACATGTCAAAGATCGCTCGGATCACGGTGATCCCAAGACCCAGCATTCACAGACTGCCAGTCGTTCCTATCCAACCGGCAGAAGATACCTGGATCACCGACCTAATAGTCTTCCTCGAGCATGGTCGGCTCCCGACCGACCCCCAGCGCGCTCGGAAGGCCAAGCTCAGGGCTACAAGGTTCCAGGTTTTGGACGATCGTCTCTATAGACGTTCGTATGGGAGCCCCCTCATGCGCTGCCTGACCGCGTTTGAAGCTGACCTTGTCATGAAGGAGCTGCATACGGGCATCTGCTCGTCACACCAAGGCGGCCGATCGCTTACTCGCCGCATCATGCTGATCGGGTACTATTGGCCGTCCATCCAGCTCGACTGTGAGAAGCTCGCTCGGGGTTGCGAGACGTGCCAGTTGTTCGCCCGGATGCCCGGACGATCGGCCACCTTTTATCAGCCGGTCACGACCGCCATTCCTTTTGCAAGGTGGGGCGTAGACATCCTGGGACCATTCCCCCAACTTGCCGGTCGGCGCAAGTTCGTCATCGTCGCCATCGACTACTTCTCGAAATGGATCGAGGCCGAGCCGCTTGCCACGATCACATCCCAACAATGTGCTCGGTTTTTATGGCGCAACGTGATTTCCCGCTTTGGCGTGTCTGTGCATCTCATCAGCGACAACGGCCGCCAATTCGTGAGCCAATACTTTCAGAACTTCTTGGCCACGATCGGGACTACACACATCCGGTCGTCAGTAGCTTACCCCCAGGGAAACGGGCAGGTCGAGAACGCCAACCAGACGATAAATGGAAGGTCCGAAGAAGAAGTTACACTCGGCTGGTCGTAGCTGGGCCGATGAATTGCCCTACGTCCTATGGACTTATCGGACGATCCCGAGAGAGGCGACCTTGGAGACCCCGTTTGCCCTAGTTTACGGGGCTGAAGCCTGACTCCCGATCGAGGCTTGGATCCCGACCGACTGAGAACGAACCTTCAACGCGGAAGAAAACGAACACTCGATGGTCGTGGACCTCGATGGGGTCGAGGAGAAGA